GGGTTCAGGCTTTAGGGCTTCGGGTTCAGGGTTTCGTGTTTGCTTAAAGGTTTAGGGTTTTGGGTTGAGGCTTTGTGGAGTTTGGGGTTCTAAGGGCTCAGAACAGTTCATTGGCTCTGCTTTTTCAGCCTTCGGTCTCCGGCTGTAGCTGAAGAGGAGGGCCGCTTGTGCTTAGGGTTTAGGGACCCTAACCCTAAACCCCCTAAACCCTAAACCCTAAGCCCTAAAACCCTAAACCCCTAAAACCCTAAACCCCTAAACCGCTAAAACCCTAAACCCTAGACCCCATACACCAAACCCTAAACCGCAGCCATCCTCCCCGCGAAGTTCAGGCCGACTTTGTAGTCACTCTGGGAGCGAAACTGGGCTCCACAAGCTGCGAGAGCATGTTTAGGGTTTAGGCGTTCAGGGTTTAGGTTTAGGGTTTAGGGTTTAGGGTTTAGGGTTTAGGGATGTGCTTCACTGAACCAGACATTCCGAGGGCATATCTATTTGAGTGCACATGCAAACGTTCCTGGTTGCTTGGCCTACTTATCTACCTACACAAACCATTCGAGCCCTGAACTGCAGAATCACGCTTAACAACTTGGAGGAATATGTAGTCAATGTTAAGGATAGAAGCAGGGTTACGATATCTGATCATATGCTGCTATAATGCAAGGGTTACTATCATGATGGGGTATTATGAGGGTTTTGGGATTATTTGTTGTGCAGATATGTTGGATGTCCAGAGAAGGGGAGTGTTTGGGCAGAAGCATTCGGGCACGGGAATCGGGGTCAAGCCCCCCATCAATGTCAATACACTCTCTCACACCCGAATGCACCCCAACCGAAGTCGGACCTTAAAAGGAGCGGATGAACTTCCTTTACGCGAACTGAGCTTGTTCTTGGAGATTTTGGTCAGGCTTTTGACAAAGGTTTTTCACGCTTGTGTTGCGTTTGGGAAATACAGAAACCGGATTGCATACACGCCCAGCTGTTAACCCGAAAAGCATGCAACAGCTGCAAAGAGCTTCTCGCATTCCCACACTCCTGCTTCTGATGCAGACTAGCTGATCCTGATTCAGCCCGTGGGCCTCCCATCAAGCATGGCGTCTCAGCCACCCAACCGAATCGGCACACAGGCTATAGTGCCCCGTGGCCCCATCAACGCTCGAGCCCTCGTCTCTCCGGGTATCACGTTCAATTTGATGGATTTCCACTTTGGGAACGCTAGCGCGCGATCAGTGTTAGCTGAAGCATTGTCACTGTTTGAGATGCTGTTTCGGACGGCAATGTCGTTCTCATATCCTTTCACTATTTTGCTTTCTGCCAGTATGATGGACTACGATTCCTATGACGATGATGGTGACTCGCGATGTCGATGATGATGATGATGATGATCATGATGATGATGATGATGATGATGATTGTGACGACGGTGTTGATACCAGTAGTGATTATGATGATGATGAGGATGATGGTGATGAGGATGAGGGTGGTGATGGTGATAGTGATGGTGATGGTGATGGTGATGGTGATGGTGATGACGATGACGATGACGATGACGATGATGATGATGATGATGATGACTACGACGATGATGGTGATGGTGATGGTGATGATGATGATGATGATGATGATGATGATGGTGACGACGATGAGGATGACTACGACGATGATGATGAGGAGACGGATGATGAGGAAGATGATGAGGATGAGGATGGTGATGATGACGGTGATGATGATGTTCAACATAATGATGCTTGTTGGGATGTTGATTAGATGATCAGAATGATGATGTTGATGAACTTACTGATGACTAAGATGATGCTGCTAATGATGATGTGAAGAATAAGAATACGAAGGTGGTGATGACAAGTCCGATGAAGATAAGCATCGAGCACTAAGCATAGCATCTGCTGCCATTATGCGTGTTGAATGGTTGGTGGCGGTGGCGGTGGCGGTGGCCTTTGCGGTGGCGGTGGCGGTGGCGGTGGCGGTGGCGGTGGCGGTGGCGGTGGCGGTGGCGGTGGTGGTGGTGGTGGCGGCGGTCGTCGCAGTGGCCGTGGAAGTGGCCGTGGAAGTGGCAGTGGCAGTAGTCGTCGCGGTCGTGGTGGTCGTGGCCTGTGGACGTGGTCGCGATCATGGTTATGGTGATGTATGGCGGTGATGATGGTACGGGTAGTGGTCATGGTAGTGGCGGTGGTGGTGCTGGCGGTGGTGGTGGTAGTAGTAGTAGTAGCAGTAGTAATAGTAGTGGTAGTAGCAGCAGTAGTAGTAGTGGTGGTAAGCAGAAGCAGCAGCAGAAGCACTAGTAGCAGGAGGAGGAGGAGCCGCAGCAGGAGTAGTAGTAGTAGT